CCTGATTTTTCTCACCCTAAAACTACTGCAGCTCATTCCCAGCATTCCTCGCATTCCCTCGGGACTCAAGCCAGTGTTGGCTTGTTTGGAAATTCTTGTTTTGTTTGGTGGTGCAAAATACGTCAAGCATCATTGAGCTAAATGTTTTTTCCCCCGAGATGCATTACAACGGGACACCAACGTTAATTTCCCACCATTGTACCTCCTCAGCTGCACGGTTTTCCACAAACCGCTCCCTTTTTGTTGTTACGTTCCGTGAGAAGAGATTTGGACCATGTTTTTGTTGTTGAGCTCGGTGGCAGCAGACTTGAGGAAGTTCACAGTGGTGGCTTCAAGAGAACTGGATGTTAAGCTGAAGGCGTTTCGGCTAATCTTGGAGTTCTTTACTCATTTTGAGTGCTGGTTCAGAGCCAGAGCTTAGTTTCACATCATATATTTGTCTTTTAAAAGCCAAACACTTGCTTTGAACCAGGAAAAGTGTTAAGTAGCATCAATAATTGCATACATTTTTCATATTCATACGTGAATTTGAACTTTTATTCATTCATTTTCCTTCGGCTTAGTCCCTTATTTTTCAGGGGTCGCCACAGCGGAATGAACCGCCAACTATTTCAGCTTACACACACACACACAAACACACACACTTATACACTACGGCAAAATTAGTTCATGTAATTCACCTATAGCGCATGTGTTTGGACTGTGGGGGAAACCGGAGCACTCGGAGGAAACCCACATCAACACGGGCCAACCATAACTCGAACCTGCAACCTTTTTGCTGTGAGGCGACAGTGCTAACAACTATTTCACCACCATGCTACCCTCACATTTGAACTTCTCATGAAAAAAACGGTCTAATTCACACCAAAGATGTTATTTGCTGTTTTGGGATGCTGATGTATTGTAGGTTTGCATGTCAGTCAACATTAATAGCAGCAATGCAACGTCCACCATTGAGAGTTTGGCAATGCTGGACAAGATATATTTAGCTATGCAAGATAGAGCTCTATAGCAAACCGCTTAGGAGTCTCGTCCAACAAATACGACTAGGTATTGATCCAAATGTTGTGGTTCGATTTTGATGCACAAGATTCGCTTGCACATTCTCGATTCGATTCAGTTGAATATTACTCTGCTGTCTCTGATGGCAATATGTCATCCTGCCTACAGTAAACACACACACACTGATGACCTGTTGAGGAAGAGAAAACATCAGCAAACTAAGTTGTTCAGCTTTTAAGAATCTACTGAATTGAATAGTTTTTTTTTTTTTTTTTTTTTAAATGATTCATTGAAGAATCGATATTTTTGTCCATCCCTATAGTTGAAGCATCTTGGACCTTCAGAAACATGACATCATGCATTAGTCTGGAGTATCTCAATAACCTCACAGAGACTTGCTGACAGCAATCATTTGATTCAATTTCTGGAATCTGAGTGAAATAATTCTTCTTTCCCAGTTGAACTCGACAGATTCTCTCTCTCTCTCCCTCTGCCCTAGATGTAATTTAGGTTTGTTGTTCTGTGTTTGGAGGCATCAGAATTATTCAGAGTAGCTTGAAGACGAATGATTGAGGTAGAGTTCACTCACTTCTCTTATTTTATGGATATACTGTACAAAAACACAAAAAATAAACATGATTTTCATATTATTTCATTGCTTGTTCATTTTATTGTTTTATTTCTAATTATTTTATTTAAGATTATATACTTTACTTACTTTACATTTTACTTTACCGTATTTTACTTTACTGCACTGTACTGTATTTTACTTTATTGTATTTTACTTTACTGTATTTTACTTTACTTTCTTGTCCACAAGTGGAAATTTATCTTTGGTTTCATCAGCAACTCAAATACATTAATCTTATAAATCACAGTAAAAACTCAATAAAACCCAGTATTTAAAATTTTAATGGCAGTTGGCACAAAGGACATTTGATAGTAGGGTTAGGCGATGTCGACCAATTTGGCATTGTACAATGTCTAATGTGAAACATGGTGATGGACGATGGGATCATTATTACTGGTGTCAGTGAATGAATTATTCATGAATAATGAATTAATTCGTAACAAATTAATTATTTGTAGCCTTCGTTTCAACTACCTGACCTGCATGGTCTTTGTTTTACCCATAACCAAACCATAAATAAGTGAAGATAAGTTACATACAAATGACCACCTGTCGATCACTTTTCTGCAGGACTCTGGCATGAATAGGTGGAGTGATCTGTGTCATTATGATGGAGTCCACAAACTTGGTTGGTAAAAAAAGGTGCACAACTAACAGGAACAAACCAACAGCATCCGAGGTTTCCACTAAAATTACTAAGTACAAGTGTGAAAGCAAAAGATTGAAGCAGTGTATTGACACTGTGACACTTTACCTGATAGATTCAAAAGAACGAAGAGTCGTTAAATAGAGACAAGATTAATTAAATATCATTTATAACAACTATATTGAGACGCCATCCTGCGGTACATCCTTTATAAACAGTCCGACGTGCACTTCTCAAAGCATCTGCTGAGCAGGAGCTCAGACAAACGCATGACAATGTGTGTGTGTGGTCACGTGATGTGCGTTTTCAGCAAGTGATACTCGTATAGTAAGGGCTGTTCAGAAATGCTAGATGAAATGCCAGTGTGGACGTTTTCAATCTAAAATGCCAGAAGTATTAGTGTAAAAGTGTGTATTTTTTGCAAGCGGGTTTGCGAAATGGGGCGGGGGCGGAGGATCGCAATGCCAGCTTAGCTTAGCGATGGACGATGGCATCGTCTATTGACCCAACTCTATTTGATACACATTTTCTTTACTTGAGGTTGGGAACAAACTTCAATATTCACATGTGCTTTGTTTAATTCTTATTAAATATATTTCATTTAGTTGTGTTGGCGAGGCAGTGGCGCAGTAGGTAGTGCTGTCGCCTCACAGCAAGAAGGTCACTGGGTCGCTGGTTTGAAGTTCGGCTCAGTTGGCATTTCTGTGTGGAGTTTGCATGTTCTCCCTGCCTTCGCGTGGGTTTCCTCCGGGTGCTCTGGTTTCCCCCACAGTCCAATGACATGCGGTACAGGTGAATTGGGTAGGCTAAATTGACAGTAGTGTATGAGTGTGGGTGTGAATGTGAGTGTGAATGTTTCCCAGAGATGGGTTTCGGCTGGAAGGGCATCTGCTGTGTAAAAACTTGCTGGATAAGTTGGCGGTTCATTCCACTGTGGCGACCCTGGATTAATAAAGGGACTAAGCCGGCAAGAAAATGAATGAATGAATGTGTTTGCGGTTTACCTACAATTGCACTGGCAATTTTTACTACTCGACACAGTTTTTGCTTTTCTTTAATTGGCAACAGTCCATACCATACAATCATTAAAACTCACAACTCTTTCAGCCAAATATTATTTATATTTATTATATAATCATATGATTGTTTATAACAGTGTTTCTCAACCATGTTCCTGGAGGACCTCCAGCTCTGCAAATTTTCCATGTCTCTTTAACAAAGCACACCTGATTCAGATCATCAGCTCATTAGCAGAGACTGAAAGACCTGTAATAGGTGTGACAAAGGAGACATCCAAAACATGCAGTGTTGTAGGGCCTCCTGGAACGTGGTTGAGAAACGCTTCTTTATTAGATACATATTTATTCATTCAGTTTTTTGTCGGCTTAGTCCCTTAATTATCCGGGGTCGCCACAGCAGAATTAACCGTCAACTTATACAGCAAGTTTTTACGCAGCGGATGCCCTTCCAGCCGCAACCCATTTCTGGGAAACATCCACACTCACACTTTCACACACACACTCATACACTACGGACAATTTAGCCTACTCAATTCACCTGTACCGCATGTCTTTAGACTGTGGGGGAAACCGGAGCACCCGGAGGAAACCCACACGAAGGCAGGGAGAACATGCAAACTCCACACAGAAATGCCAACTCAGCCGAGGTTCGTACCAGCGACCCGGCGACCTTCTTGCTGTGAGGCGACAGCACTAGCTACTGTGCCACTGCGTCGCCTGCATATTTATTTGGAGCCTGGTTGTGATTTGCTGGTACAATTGTATGGTGTGCTCATTTAATTGTGGATTTATTTCGATATCTTGTTTATGACATTGTTTGTTTTTCATTGTTCATCCAGGACACTCTTGAAAAAAGAGGTTACAAATCTCAAGAGCTTTTTCTGGTAAAATAAAAGAAATAAAAACTTAGTTTAGTTGGAAATTCACTAGAGGTTTATTTTAATCAACCCATGAAGTACAATTAAACATGTTTGGTTTGTAGTTCAGCTTTGAGATCATGTATATCCACAGTCTAATATTTACTGTCATTCCCTTTCTCCTCTACAGTAGTATAGCACACATGCTTAAAGACGTTAACTAAAGCTTATTCGTCATTTTTATTTTTCATAATAAGGTCATTCTGTGTGTCCAGCACAAATTTCCTCTTTCAGTAGGAAAGAAAACTCCTGTCATCAAGCCATTTCAGTGGATCTTTACATGAAGTTTGTTTGTGTGTCAATAGTGAGTTGAGTCCAGCTAACACTGCCTTCCTTGTCTTTCCCTTACACTGGCTGCCATTTTTGTCTATAAATTTGTCTCCCTCCTTTTTTTTTTCCCGCTCCGGGACTGAGCCGTACTTCAATAATCACAAGACCCTCGTTCACCAGCTCTTTCCTTGATAATCATTGCATTTCAGTCGTTCAATAAGCTACTGACCTCCCATAATTCAGCAGCTCTCTGTTCACCTGACAGTCCCAGCTCGCTTTCATTTTAGCTTTGTGGCTTTTTATTTCAGCATCCGCCTCATGTTTCTCAGCTCTGTGTGTGTGTGTGCGCGCTCTGTCCTGTTCTGTTTTTTTTTTTTTTTGATGTCTGAGATTTTATAAAGGATTTGTCCCTCTCTTCTTCCCGTAGTATGACTTGCAAAGTGCTTAACAGGGTTTGTGGAGCCGGTATTAACTCTGCTCTTTCTGCTTCTCTCCTCACTCTGGCTCCTCCGCAGGAATGTGTTAAAGCTCAGGTATCGTATTTATTCATTCTTTCTGCTTCTCTGTCTATGCTTAGATACTATTTTAATGTGTGTGTATGTTATATATGAGAGTTTGTGACCTTATGAATGTAGCAGTGTGGCTTATTTGTGTGGATGTGTGCTGTTTATGCTGGCGAATGAGCGTTTGGTCCTGCAGTGTTTTGAATTGTGTGATATTGACAGGAAAAAGGGTTTTACTTTTGTCAATAATGATTTATTGTGTGCTGAGTGTGCTTTTGTGCTGGTCTTGGTTGGTTTTTGTCTGTCCTGGATTTAAAAATGGCAGTAAAAACACCACTTGAAGAGTCATTGAATCGTTGATTTTAAACGATTCATTTAAAGATGTGGATTCATTTAGAAAGCAAGCGATTGTCTTTGAGTGAATCATTGAATCATTGACTCGTTGTTCTTAAAGCATTAAATCAGGTGGGAACTGCTCATTCTGTCACTCTTCAGAGGCGGACTATATTCATTTGTTCTGGCAGTGCTCCTTCACTGAGAGATTCTGGTCAGATTTGTTGATCTTTAATCAGTCTTATATTATGAGTGACTTTTCCTTTTCTTTTAAAATGATATTTTTTGGATTGTTTGATGACCCTAAAGAAAACTTGGAAAGTGTATATAGTTAATTTGTGTATTCTATTAGCCAAGTTTCATATTCACAAACAAAAATTTAGATTTTGATCTGTTCAACATCCACCAAGACTAATACTTGAAAATTATCCAGCATTCTCTTCATCCAAAAGCAACTAAAACTGTATCTTTATATTCTTCCTTTGTGTCTCTTTAAGTTGTAACTTTATTTCATCAGTTTTATTTTTGTTACCCTTGCGTTTGTTTGTCTTTTTGTGTATTTCTGTGCACTTTTTATTTATTTATTTGTATTATTCATCTCTTTGTATGTTATTGTGTTTTATCTACCTCTTTAATAAAAAATAAAAATAGGTGGGAAACACTGCAGTGTAGCACTATCATGCACAAATGTTCTGCTCTGACTTGGAAACCATTATCATTGTCAGAAATTAAATAATAAGAAGAAATCACAACAACAAAACAATATTGATATTGAGTTCTCAGATAAAACTTTGTTAACTTGTGCTATAAATTGAGCAATTCCATGCAAATGTCAACCTTGCCATGGAAAAAAGGTTTTCACAAAAAAGCGTCTTATTTTACTTACTTTTTTTTTGTCTTATTTTTTGTCTTATTTTATTTGTAAAATACATCTCTCAACATTTTCAAACAATTTTAATTAATTAAAAAATTCCCACAAGAGCCAATTTCACATCTGTCACATTCGAGCTTTTTCATCATCAACACAAAAAAATAAATAAAATAAAATAAATGTTTGTTTTATAGAATTCTCTCTCTCTATATGAAGATACAACTTTTATAATTTTGCTGAGTATTATTTCTTTAATTTTGTGCGTTTTAATGATCAAAATTATTACAAGTATGTGTCATTCTGTAAACTTGTTTTGTCTCATATAACATGTTTATTTCCCTCATTTAAAATATAAAACACATTTACAGATTGATATTTTTCTGATCCCTTATATATGTGATTATTATTATTATTAATTCATATAAGCGGATATTCAAATACAGCTTAAACATATGCATTGACTGTGAACTTATGCAGACATCACATCCTTAATGCTGGAATTGCTCAATTACTATCACATTTGCACACTAATATTTGGAAAAAAAACTATTTTTGCCTTATTTTTCTTAAGTTGTATTATTAATTAAAATTTTAGGATAATGTCAGCTAAGGCTGGGTGATATGAGTGTATATATGGTTACTGTGGAATGAAATATGTACCGTAAAATATTTGTTTATTCGTGTATACGTGCAAAATGTAAATAAGTGGGTGTGACCAACTCACCAGCATGTGCAAGGCTGAGAAAGAAAGACGCTTGATGGGAGACTGGCTGTAGTGCTAACTGCTTGATATTTTCAACAAGAAGTGATCACTTAGCTTTAGTATTCAAGCAAGAATTGTAATCGTTTTTATATTTTGTATTTTTGAAGGGAAAAAAGGATTAGATTTAGCCCTGGTTTATTCATTTTTGCCACATTTATTTTCCCAAAGCAGACATTCTCTATCTGAACCACTGATTTACAACATAAATCAACCACATCAGTTTAGGGTTCAGGCTTAATTCCGCTGTACTATTTTTTTCTCGCCAACACATTCAAGGGTGCATGTAAGGTATTGGTGTGTTAATGTGTTTATATGTGTGTGTGTGTGTGTGTGTTTTAGCATGTTACTTGATGCTCTAGGCATGATGAGAAGTGCTGATGGTTCATCTTTGCCGCCGCTGGGCTGATACTTGCTTTGCAGTAATTAGATTCAGCGAGGAGTGAAGCGAAGCGATTGGGATACAGAAAGTGTGATTGTGTGTGTGTGTGTGTGTGTGGAAAAGAGTGAGAGCGGGAGTCTTGTCAGGTGTTCTTGTGAAGAGTGGGTCTATTTTTAGAGCTGTCCTCAGTGATGGCTCTGCTGCAGTGTATATACGGCAGATCTGAGGCACAAAAGAACTGCGCTTAACTCGATTTATAACACTATAAACACACACAGCTGTCGGATTACCTCAGAATATGCTGCACGGGTCATATCTGCTATGATCCCTGAGGTTTTATACTGTCATTTGTGTATTGTTGTAGAGAAATATCACTAAACATTGGAGCTGTATGATTGATTGTTAAAAGATTCAAACACCCACAGGATTTTTGGCTTAAATAAAAGTTCAACTTGAAAAGTATCACCACAGTAAACATTAAAACTGTCACATTTTCCGTGTAGGAAATGGCTTCAGTCTTTTTTTTTTCAGCCAAACAGTATTGTTATGTGTTATGAGCAGTTTAACTATCACAGAAGCATTGGATTGAAGGTTTCTAGTTTGCATATGAACTCAAAAAATCCCCTTTTAAAGTGACTTTATATTCATCTTTTAGTGCTACACATGGAGTGAATCATTTGTTCAAAAATACTGATTTATCCAGTACTGAGACGAGTGAGTCACTGAATCATTCATTCCAATGATTCATTTAAAGATACAGATTTTCCAGTACTGAAACGAGTGAAGTCTTTGAGTGAGTCACTGAATCATTCATTCCAGTGATTCATTCAAAAATGCTGCTTCATCTAGTAATGAAAACTGAAGTCTTCATGGGTGAGTCATTGAATATATTTAATGATTCATTTAAAAAAGAAAAGCAGATTTATCCAGTAATGAAAAATGATGTTTTCAAGGATGAGTCATTGAATCAATATTTTCAGTGATTCATTTTACAATGCTGATTAATCTAGTAATAAAAAGTCTTTGAGTGAGTCATTGAATCATTCTTTCCAGTGATTCATTCAAAAATGCTGATTGAACAATGAAGTCTTCATGGGTGATTCATTGAATCAATCTGTTCTGTGATTCATTCAAAAATGTTGATTTATCCAGTAATGAAAACTGAATTCGTCAAGCATGAGTCATTCAATCAATCTTTTTAGTGATTCATCCAAAAAGGCAGAATTATTTTGTAATAAAAAATAATTCTTTATGGGTGAGTTACTGAATCAATCTTTTCCAGTGATTAATTTTTAAATGCTGATTAATCTAGTAATAAAAAGTATTTGAGTGAGTCACTAAATCATTCATTCCAGTGATTCATTTAAAAATGCTGATTGAATAATAAAGTCTTCATGGGTGAGTCATTGAGTATATTTAATGATTTATTAAAAAAATTGCAGATGTATCCAGTAATGAAAACTTACATTTTAAGGGTGAGTCATTGAATCAATCTTTTCCAGTGATTCATTTAAAAATGCTGATTGAACAATAAAGTCTTCATGGGTGAGTCATTGAGTATATTTAATGATTTATTAAAAAAATTGCAGATGTATCCAGTAATGAAAACTTACATTTTAAGGGTGAGTCATTGAATCAATCTTTTCCAGTGATTCATTTAAAAATGCTGATTGAACAATAAAGTGTTTAAGGGTGAGTCATTGAATCAGTCTTTTCAATTTCAATTCAATTCAGTTCCGCTTTATTTGTATAGCACTTTTACAATGTAGATTGTGTTAAAGCAGCTTCACATAAATTAAGTGATACATTTTTAAATGCTGATTAATTTAGTTATAAAAAGTCTTTAAGTGAGTCACTGAATCATTTATTCTAGTGATACATTCAAAAATGCTGATTGAACAATGAAGTCTTCATGGGTGAGTCATTCAATCAATCTTTTCAGTGGTTTATTAAAAAAATGCTGATTTATTCAGTAATGAAAACTGAATTC